CTGTTAACTTCCTGGCACTTCCAATCTGCTCCTATGTAAGACAAGTGGGCTCCAGTGGCCRGAGAGAGCTGTCAGACAAAGACTTGCAGAAGCTTCTAGCTGAAAGTTGGACTAAGCTGAACAGATGGGGACGGTGCCGAGTGGAACTCCAGGTTATCAAAAGCACCCTCCAATATATAGGTAGGACAGRTGATTAATCCCAATTTACAGATCAGGGAACTGAGACATTGCTGAGCCCTATAATAGAATATGGAAGACAGTGGAGAGGTGAGAAGGATCTCTCCCTTTGGCCACCTGCTTTTGGGCTCTCTGAGAGATCCTTCTGTTGCTTCTGCTTCCTGACATATGTAATCGGGTGATCGATGGTGAACCTCTGTGACCGTGATTGGCTGGGTGGTCACATTTCTGCTTCCCGGACTCCAAACTGGATTCCCTAGTCACGCTTGCAAAGTGGTGTGGTATGTAGCAGAGCTGTGGGGAATAAGTAGTACTCAAAGTACTCTGTGGCCTGATTTACAAAGGCTTTATACACAATCTCCCTGTGTTTCACCCATCAAGCAGTCTGCAGTAGAGWGGACCTCCATGCCATCATAGAATGTCATTTCTTGATGACAGCAGAGCCACAAAATAGAAGGAACCCAGGTCTCCAAGTCATCACTTAGATTAGACTTTTATTGTGTTAAGCCACAGGCTTTTGAGGATTACCAATTACAACAACTAGCACCACCTCAACATCATACATGTGTAATCAAATATTTGTTTGTCTTTATATGACTTAGTATTAGCTCATATTATGAATTTATTAGTCATTTGTCAATCCTTGAAGAGGAGGGACTTTGAAAAGTACACTGCTGAATCTTTGGTAACTGGAACTATGTTCAGCATCTCATATATGCTCAATGAGTATTTGTCAAATGACTCAATTGCTCACRGTTCATGACAGGCCCTGTGCTAGGAGCCTCATGTACCTTATTCAGTTATCACAACAACCATATGAGGAAACTGAAATTTAGACAGGCTGATTAACTTATCCAATGATACTCAGCAAGTGAGGGAGGCAAGTGAGGGATCCAGTACTGAAATCCAGGTGGTCTGACGTAACTCTCCCTCTTAAGCCTTCTGCACATTGTCTGAATGTGTATGCCTCATGCAGTACTGGGAGCTCTGGGTGCAGGAAGGCATGAGACACAGCACCTGTCCTGGAAATCTACCCAGTGGGAGCAGCACSGGCCTTATGTGCTATGGGAGGAACAGATCAGTCTCTGTTCTTGTCCAGGAAGCAGGCTATTATCTAGAAGTGTGTTGCTTAATTCAACTTGACTCAGCTACACAACTGGAAAATCCTCTTAGGGGATAGAGAGAACTAAACAGAATACATTGGTAAAGCTACATCTTTTTTGAGCCATTTGAATAAAGGCAAAGTGAGTCACAGAAGGGAACTGATCCTACATATCTTAGGAAGAGTTAGGAAGAGATAGGGTAAGGTGTTGAATTTAAGGATGTGTGCTTGGTGATCAGACAAAACTGACTTCAAATAAATCTTGTATCTACCAAGCTGTACGACGCTGGGCAAGTTAGCTAGTCTTGTTGGGTTTATTCCCTCCTCTGAAAAATGAAGTGATTAGCAAATTGTGTGCTCAGAAGATGGTGGCTGGTATATTACCTAATCTTTAATTCCTGGTCTTTGTACAGGGAACTTAACCATCTTGGCTACTGAAATGGAAAGACAGAAACGCTTCTGAGAATATAATCTCAGTGGACACTAGTACTGGAGTGGAAGAGAAACCTATGAACTTTCTCCATTTAGAATGATGTTGGCCTGGGGCTGAGCCTTTACGATGTTGAGATATGTTCCTGTTATCCCTAGTTCTTCTAGTGTTTTGAACATAAAGAGGTGCTGGATGTATTTTGTCAAATGCTTTTTCTGCATCTATTGAGATGATCATATGATTCTTATCTTTGAGTCTATTGATGTGATGAATTACATTTATTGATTTCCATATGTTGAACCAACCTTGCATCCCTGGGATGAATCCCACTTGATCATGGTGCACAATCTTTTTGAAGTTTTTGTATTCGATTTGCCAGAGTTTTATTGAGAGTTTTTGCATTTATGTTCACTAGAGAGATTGGTCTAAAATTTTCTTTCTTTGATGTGTCTTTGCCTGGTTTTGGAATCAGGGTTATATTGGCCTCATAGGATGAGTTTGGAAATGCTGCCTCTTTTTCTATTTCCTGAAATAAATTGAAGATTTATTAGTTCTTCTTTAAAGGTCTTGTAGAACTCAGCTGTGTATTCATCCAGTCCTGGGCTTTTCTTGGTTGGTAGGCGTCTTCTATTTYATCACTTGATATTGGTCTGTTTAAATTGTGTATATCTTCCTGACTCAATCTGGGCAAATTGTATGACTTAAGAAATTTGTCRATGCCTTTGATGTCTTCTATTTTATTGGAGTATAAGATTTCAAAATAATTTCTAATTATCCTCTGTATTTCTTTAGTGTCTGTTGTGATATTACCTTTTTCATCACGTATGCTGGTAATTTGAGTTTTCTCTCTCTTTCTCTTCATTAGCATAGCTAAGGGTCTGTCAATTTTATTTATTTTTTCAAAGAACTAACTTTTTGTTTTGTCAATTTTTTCTTTTGTTTCAATTTCATTRAKTTTAGCTCTAATTTCAATGATTTCTTGCCTTATAGTGCTTTTGCTGTTGATTTGTTCTTCTTTTTCTAGGGCTTTGAGRTATAGTGTGAGGTCATTTATTTGTTGACTTTTTCTTCTTTTACGGAATGAACTCAATGCAATGAACTTTCCTCTTAGAAATGCTTTCATAGTGTCCCAGAGATTTCAATATGTTTTATATGTGTTCTCATTCACCTTTAAAAATTTTCTAATCTCCTCCTTGATGTCTTCTGTAACCCATTGTTCATTCAGTAGCATATTATTTAATCTCCAGATGATGGAGTGGATTTTATTTCTTATTTTATCATTGATTTCTAATTTCATTCCATTATGATCTGATAGAATGCAGGGTAGTATCTCTAGTTTTTTATATTTGCTAAGAGTTGCTTTGTGGCATAGTATATGGTCTATTTTACAGAAGGATCCATGTGCTGCTGAGAAGAAAGTGTATCCACTTGATGCAGGGTAAATATTCTATATATGTCAGTTAAGTCTGTTATTGATTGTATTATTGAGTTCTATAGTTTCTTTACTCAACTTTTGTTTGGAAGATCTATCCAGTGGTGGGAGAGGTGTGTTAAARTCACCCAAGATTATTGTGTTGTTGTCAATTTGACTCTTAAACTTGAGAAGAATTTGTTTGATGAACATAGCTGCACCATTGTTTGGGGCATATATATTTATSATTGTTATGTCTTGTTGGGGTATGGTTCCCTTGAGCAGTATGTAATGTTCCCAGCCTCTCCTTCTTTCTTCCCATGTGCAGCCACTACACATCCCAGGTCATCTCTGCCACTGTTGGTGTGTTCAGATGGGACACTCAGGAGACCCAGTGGATAATTAAAAAGAGGGTTTTCTTTCTAGAGGGAGGCAAAGGAGCAAGGTATTTGAGGAAGGACATTTGAGAAGCTGACAATGAGTCATTTTCACAAATTCTGCAGTGAGGCTTTGGACATCCTGCTCTGCTGATGGCAAAGTTGGCCCTTGAACACACATGAACCACCACCTACTAAGGGAACTAGTTGGGGTTGCTCTGGGGTCAACTTGGGAGTCTGGTACTGAATGAGATAGGGGTCTTCTTGTCTTATTGGATAGCCTGGGAGTTTCTGAGGATTGCTYATTGGTCCTCTGGAACTTTATAGTTTAGCAAATAATGTAGCAAATTTCCACAGGTATGGAACCATCCCAGTAAGACATGAAAGGCCAGTATRTTCTCAGTGGGCAAAGATCCCAGGAGCCTCTCCTGTTCCCAATTATTCCCACCTTCCAACTTTGAGTTTATTAGGTCAGCAAGGTCTGATACTAAAAGACAAATCACTCATGTAAAACATTGCTCTTATCAGTCATTCTTATTCAGCATGAAAGATCTCTGTTCTTAGCTCCATGTTAAATCTCTAACAAAAACTCAACAGATATGGCTCCAGTTCTCACCAATCTTGTCTCTTCACTCATTACTGTAAACATCTGAATTTTCAGAAAACACCCTTCTCTTTCCTCTTTCCTAGTTCCTTTTATTACTCCTTACTCATTTCTGCTTTGTAAAAATACCACTCCTCCATTGGAACCAACAGATTCTTTCCTGATTCCTAACACTATATTCCCACGATGCTGTACACTTACTCTAGAGAACCACTTTTCAGAGGTTCTTGGTGCTATTCATTTTGTCTTTCTTTATTACTCATTTGAGCTGCCCATGTGCCTTACCAACAGCCTCTGCTTGAATGGATATCCTGACATAGAAAGCATCACCTTAAAAGCAGTGCAGCCCATTGCCAGTGAATTCTCTTTGCATAACTTGTTTTCCTACTATTAGAAGTCACACTATCCATTCTCTCTGTACTAGTTCAGATGTGAATAATAATAATAATAATAATAATCTATGTCCATACTTGGACATAGATCCTAGATACAAATATCCCGATGGGCAATACGTTCTGAAGTGTAATTGTTTAATGCTAAAATGTAAATGATAGTAAATAATTTACACAATGAGTAGTTCTACMTATTAGTATAATTGCAGAGTTTTGTCTAGAAGTGATCTTGCTCATCTGAGCTGTCTTAAACTTTTGCTTGGCTTGGCTTTCTTATCTAGAGAGGTGGGAAAAAAGTTACATGTGTTTTAATGGGCTTCAGTCACTTAGGGGCTGGGTGGATGCTGTTGGTGCCAAAGCTGCTTTGAGTTACACCAGCCACCAATATATCAGTCAATGAGCCTTTTGTTCCCATTTGGGTTGAAGTTTTCTCTTCCCCTTCCTGGATGCCTGGCTTCACTAGGGCTACTTATGGCATTTGTATTATGAATCAAAGATGCAAGTAACACATTTTATTATGATTTTATTATATATATATTCTCTTTTCCTGGAGCTTTGCAAGTAAAAGATGGCATAAGAACCAACTCTTTATTCATCCTAAGTTCCACCCTACAGAACCAGGTCATATTACAGTTGCTTGATGTACAAGACCCAATAACTCAATAAATACTTTACAAAAATAATGCAGTTTTTTTCTTTCTTAAAACATAAGAAAATTAAGATTTCCCAGACTTCAGCCCCTCTCCCTTTTTAATATTTATTTATTAGAAATACACTGGTGGTGAAAAATTAATATAGCATTAAAATAAACTAGATGAAATGAGGGTTATATTCTTTTCCTATTTGTTATGCTTTTTCCTTTGGAAAAGTGCTACTCCTTGTTTTTATGTCTGAACTGTAATCTTCTGAACCTACTAAGCTAAGAGCAGAAATTCTACTGTTTGGGGGCCTTTTGTAGAATAATAGCATTATGCTAACATTGATCTTTTATTTTAAAGCCTATTTAAAACCAGGCCTCAGATGTGCTCCTAAAAAATATTGATTTACCTCCTTACCCCCTACCCAGTCTGAGGCAAGAGAATTTTGGAATCTGAGACTCCAACAAGGTGCCTTATGACTACATAACATTTGGCTTAAGGTGGGCGATCTCATGTTTTGATACATTTCCACTGAGCTATTATTTATTTTTAAGGAAATCATTGCAAAATTCCCTTTCTCTTCCACTTCACCAAGCCCCTTTCTTTCTGAACTCTCTCAGAAGTGATTAAATAGTTTCACCATGACAACTCTAGAGAAAAAGTTAAGCTTAAGTCACATTTGTATTAAATAAGTTATATATAAAAACTGCTTATAATGTTTACAACTTCAGTATCTTCCCTCCTTTGCTTCTCTTGACCACCCTGGATCCAGGTGTGAATGGAATCACACCCATGCTGGCTTCCAGGCTCCTCTTCTGGTTGCTGGGTTGCTCCTTCCAATCCTCCCGCCCACATGGCCCCTAGGAGGACTTCCAAGGAAGTTTGTAGGCACTGTACATGGCAAGGGTGGTTTCAAATGGCAGCCATCCTGGCCTGGTGCATACCCCTAGTGTAACTTATAAAAAATACTCCTGTGGTATATATACAAATATACACCTAAGCAGATAAAAAGAACCAGGCGCCAGGTGGCAGATCAGTGCAGTGTGTTTGTGTCCCGAAACCAGAGGTGGCCTTCCTCCACCTCACCCTCGTCTCTTTAATACTCTCTGGCTTCTTGGAACTGTTTAATGTAGTCCTCGTCCGAAGGGCTTTCTGTGCACTTCTGTCCATTGTTGGGAGGCCGAGCCTCATTATACCTGCTCCAGTCGCCCTTGCAAATAATCCAGGGTAGGATGTCCACTTTGTAGTGGAGCTCAGCTGAGAACTCGGTGCTGATGAGGTTGGGTGTCCCMGCCCCTTTGCCCCTGGTGATGAGTTGCATGTTGTCGCCATAGCAACAGTGCTGGGCGGCCAGCGTGGTGCTCTCCAGGGACAGCATGGAGCGGATGCAGTACCGGGCTGTGGGTTTGTAGATCTCCAGCTTCTCCTTGGGCCCACTGGCATCTTTCCAACGGAAGTCCTTGCGCTTGATGCGATCGAAGATGTCAGCCGTACTGTAAGCCACCTCGGTGGGATAGAAGCAGGGGCAGCTGGGCAGGTCATTGATCACCTTGTGCATGTACTTCTTTAAAAATTCGCTTTTGCAGCTCATCCATCGCTCACAGCTATCTGTGTCTGGAAAAGGCCAGAAAGAAACTCTCTTACCACATGTAAAACTRGCTGGCGGAATGAAACCCAAGTCCACAACTCCCTTCCTGCAGTCAGAGACCTCTGCAGGCACCTGGAACCACCAAGGTGAGGGATTCTCCTCTCCCTTGAACTTGGGAACATCTTTGTTTATAAGACGTACTTCCAATCCCCCACTTTATRTAATGAAAGAAAATTCAAGACACAACGAAAAGCAAAGGGACTATATTTATCTAATGACTACCCCATATTCTATTATCTAAATTTAACTATCATTGTATTTGCTCTATCTTTTAAATAATTATGCAGACATATGTAATTTTTTTACTCCCCAAATCTTATAGGGACCATAAAAACAAACAAACAAACAAATCACAAAGCAATAGAAAATAAGAGTTGCTCTCCRAAGTGTATTTTCCTAAGTAACAGTAGCTCCATTATCAACCCTAACAAAATTAACAATAATTCAGAGAGTTGCATTTGACCTCTTTAAATAAGTGGTGATGTGATGGTTTAAAAGGACTCGATGAAACATTTATAGGACTGAATTTTATTTCTGCTACTCACTGACTGATTTAAAGTAGATTTAGTCTCCCAACCTATTAACCTGAGGCCTTTATGCAAATTCATATGATGATAACGCCTTAAGGAGGAAAAGAGGCTTAACAAATAGGTCAGAGGCCAGTGACCTGTAGGCTTGAGTCAGAATCTGCCCTCACAAGTCTTATGTTTGGTTTTCATAGTATTAAAAATGTTGATCAGTAGCAAACACTTAAGAATTAGCTGGTTCCAATTATAATTGTAGATTGATTCCTAGCTTCTTTCGAAAAGCCAAAATATGTATCAACACTGGGCCTGCATTGTCCATGGGAACAAGCAGCTTCAGGAACATGGGAATAACTGGCCCCATGAACAAGGCATTCACTTGGTCCCTCAGTCAGCTGAGTGTGACCTTTGGTTTAGTGAATGTCTCAATTTGGGTTCTCTCAGATCCTGAGGCAGAGAATCCAGTGAAAATGGTTCTTCTGGAGGTATCCTAGGCCACACCAGCAGGGAGCGGGGGAGTGAGACAGGGGAGAAAGGGCAGCCAGAAAAAGGTGTAAATCAAACAGGTGTTGAATCCTGCAGAGAACAAGATTTTTCCCATTCAATGACAATGTTTAACTTTACAAAAGAAATTTATCCTGGAAAATAGCCACAGTCAAGAAGTAAAGAATCTACCCCCCATCCCAGCCTCCCTGGACCCTTTTGTGTTCTGGACAAGGGATTCCTGCAAAGAACCCTATAAGACTCATAGATACCTATTCCCCATAGCTTCACTGTGACAAACTCAGACATAGCTTTCCAAATTCCTGTCTTCGCTTTATAAATGATTAGCTGAACTGACTATGCTCATTGAGGGGTCAGAATAAAATTTTGAGGAAGACTCTCTTCTTTCATCAGTACCCTGGACTTTGACCTATCAGCTTCTCCTTAAAGGTCCCTTCTGGAAAATTGACTGGCCTTAGAGTAAAACATTCTCTGTTATACTGTCCTATCTCACCATGCTTTCTTCCTATTTCTCCTCTGTTAAGGTTTTGATCTTAAATGTTTCTCAAAGATCCATGAGTTAAAGACTTGGTGGCCAGCAGGTGGCACTCCTAATAGGGAGGTGCTGCCACATTTAGGACGTGGGGCCTAGTGGAAGGAAGTTAGATCACTGGGCAGTATGTCCCTGAAGGGGATATTGAGACCTCAGCACCTTCCTCTCCTCCTTCTGTTCTTGGCCAGCCTCACCCACAACGCACTTCCCACCATGATGTTYTGCTTCACCACAGGCCCAACCAACCRTGGACAGAAATGTCTGAAACCATGAGCCAAAAATAATCTTTTGTCCTTTTAAGTTGATTTTCTCAGCTATTTTGTTACAGTGAGGGAAAGCCAACTAACACACCCACCCTAGGTTCTTCATAGCTTTATTTTCTCCTTTATAAAAGAAAACTCCCTTTTCTGGCCTAACTCTTGATGCACTTGCAGGCCATATGGCCACAGCATTCTTCCTATTGCAAGAATAGGGAGATAATATCTGCCCCATCTCCCAAGCAATGATTCTGTGAATAAAGTCCCTCCTTACTGCATCTGGATTTGTTTTTATTTAATGGGGATCTGGGTAATGTATTMATCAGCTCCTGACTTATAGCCTGCTCTTCAGCAGTGGGCAGGGGGCTTGAGAGAACCCCTCACACCAAGAAATACAGGGGCTGCCAGTTGGTAAGGCCCCATATGACATGCAGGGACACAGTGTGACTAGAGGGACATGGGTGGGTCACCGACAGCATCTGACTCAGGGAGCTGCCATGGGTAAGATGAGGCACATCTGAGGAAGCCATCATCCATACGGAAATGCAAGGGGATACGGAAATGCAAGAAGGGAGGCAAAGGTTAAAAACACACACACACACAACAGGTAAATGAAGGGTACTTTAGGAAGCATGAGGCACTGCACTGGTCCTGGGGCATAGCAGGGCTTTGTGATGGCCACAAGTGTACTGCTCAGAATTCCTACAAGAGGAACTGCCACGGGCACTTAGCTGACTGGCAGCCTCCAGCTATAGCACCTTTGGGTCCACCATTGGTGTTCCCATCAAGACATGTTCTCCTGGCCTGCTTCTGGTCAATGACCAAGCCCAGTGGGGGTGCCTCCAACAGACAACCTTTGTTGGGCAATGCTGAYTGGCATGGCTGAGGCTGTGCCTCCCTAGTTCTTTCTCTTCCTTCCCAGGGGTAAAGCTGTCATCTCATTTTGAAAGCCTTCTCTGCCTAGTGCCGCTGTCTCCTTTTTTTTTTTTCAATCATTACTTTGCTAAATCTCACGCACATCTAATTCCACCTGGTATCTGCTACTCAAAAGACCCAAACTGACACAGACTGCAATCACAGAGATGGGGGGAAAGCATCTCAGGGAGAACATTCAGATAATCAAAAAAATCTGGGGCTGAGGACACTTTCCCTTCCATTGGAACAGAAGGAATAGGGAAATAAAATGATTGGTGTGAGATCACGGGAATGTTGCTCAGTTTAGGCCTGTTCAGAGGGCACTAGGGAGTCTCTGAAGGTTTGTGAGTGACAGTTGTTAACTGAGCTGTGCAGCAAGGAAGGAATTCAGCCGTAAGGGCTCAGGTCCGATACCCTGGGAGGGAACAGGAGGTAGGATCAAACGTGGTGAGAAAGTTAGAGCAACCAGATCTTGGCAACTTCTGGGCTTGGGGGTAAAGAAAGGAAAGCAGAAAAAGTGATCCCCAACTTCAACCCAGGTGCCTAGGAGGCTGGTGGCATTATGAATGGGAATCAAGTGGTCAGTTCAAGGGGCAGCCTAGAAGGGTAGCTCAGGGCTCTTGTGTGTAAAATGAGGAAGAGAAAGATGGGGCATCTCTCATGAGCCCATGAAGCCCTGGCAGAAGTTCATGAGTGTGAGCTCTTATGTTAAACTGCRTGGGATTAAACCCAACTCAATTATGTTATGTGACCATGAGCAAGACTCTTTTCCCTTGCTGTGTGTCAGTTTTCTCATTTTTAAATTGGGCATAGTAATAATACATCTCTCATAAATTAGGGAAGGAGATTAAATGGGAGGACATGTAGAGAGTTCACAGAGTCGAGTCCAGGGTGCACCCAGTTGGGATGTGCTGTCAGGTCCTTTCAGCTTTGAGTTCTATTTTAGTCACTGTTCTTGCTGCTGTGACTAAAAAGACCCAACCAGAAGAACTGTGAAGGAGGAAAAGTTTATTTGAGGGCTCACGGTTTTAGAGGTCTCAGTCCATTGACAATCAGCTTTATTCCTCAGATCTCCAGGTAAGACAGAACAACATGGCGGAAGAATAGGTCAGAGGGAAGTGGCTCACATGACTATCAGAATGCAGAGAAAGAGATTCTACTTGCCAGATACAAATATATCCTCCAAAGCCATGCTGCCAATGCCTGGTCTTCTCCAGTCACATCCCAGCCTTCAGTTACCACTCAATTAATCCCATCAGGAAATTAATTCACTGGGTTAAGGCTCTCATAACCCAATCATTTCTTCTCTGAACCTTCTTGCATTGTCTCATACATGAGATTTTGGAGRAAATCTCACATCCAAACCAAGTTCTATGATTCTGTGACTGTGACCCTCTGACTGAGCAGTCACTGAGGAAACAAAAGTTATGTCCTAGGCAGTTGCAAAGTCTAAAAGGTCTCCTTGGAGAAAMAAAATTTAAGAGGTCCCAGAAAATGGTGTTATATTTTCCCTTCAGGACACGATGTCATTATAATGTATGTACCTATAGGACATCCAATGACTTATTTTTTAATCCAATTTATAATGGGTGTTCAGTGTGGTGGGCACCATTATGGTTTGGATWTGARGTGTCCCCCCAATGATCCTGTTAATGCAGGGATGTTYAGATGTGAAATAATTGGATTRTGAGAACTGTAACCTAATCAGTGTTTCCTAGTTTTTGAATGGACTCACTGGGTGGTAATCGTAGGCAGGTCGGGTGTGGCTGGAGGAGGTGGTCACTGGGGATATGCCATGGAAAGGTGCATCTTCCTTGTGGTCTTCCCCCCACTGTGGCTTCCTGATCCTGCCATGACTTGAACAGCTTCCCTCTGCTGGGGCTTTCCCTCACCTTGGGTCCAGAGCAATGGAGTCATCCATTTATGCACTGAGATCTTCTGCTATTTTGAGCTCCTARTAAAATTTYCCTCTGCTTAGTTATTCTCATTGGGCATTTTGGTCACAGTAATGAAAGGCTGACCAAAGCAGACATGTTATAAATGCTTTACAAATATGTAACTCATTGAATTCCACAATAGCTCTGTGAGGTGGGCGCTTACTCACTATGCTATTTTGTAGAAAATTTGAGACTGTACTAGATGGGGCAACTTGACCTTGTGCAAGTYAATCTTTTCCCATCTCTGCTTTTATGATCTTTGGTTTGCCTGTCTATATCCTTACTCCACATCTCCCCTTCCCTGGAARGTTGATGGATGCGCAACATATCAACAGGCCCCTGTACCCCTGAGTTCTAGTTGGGTTGGGTCAATGAGAGTACGCCAAAGGGGAGGAGAGTGAGGTTAGAATATTTACTTCTTCAGCTCCTTCTGATGGTTGCCTATTTTCTGCATCCTCCTGAGAGCCAGTACTGCTATCAGGCAGGCTTCTCTGTGGGCTCTAGTCATTGCTCCTTAGAAGGTCATTTCARGGCAACAATGGGTCAAGGTTCCCCACTGTTCCCAGTTTGGGGATTCTGTGCAATCCCTTCTTGGTTTTCAACCACCCTGCTCATGCCTTTGCAAACAGTTCTTCACCAAATGCTCCCCAGTTACCTAATTTGCATGTGCCATGTTCTTTCTTGCCTGGATCCTGGCTGAAACCCTATGTCTACGAAGCCCTTKCGTCCTTAGCTACATACTGAATGTGACCTTGTGCATCTAGACTCACTGCAAAAAGGCAAGGGGCTGCCTGCTGTGGGGTGTGATATGAAGAGGCCTGAGAAAAATCTCTCCCCCTGCCCAAGTCCATCCTAACTCCTCTTCCATTTTATATAAAATCCACACCTTTAAAGTMATTTTTWAAAAAAGTCAAATGCATTGTTTGCAGAAGCCTTCTGTTCAATGCAACTCAACTGTGTGATTAGGATGAGGTGGAGGTCCTAGTAACACAGAATTTCCAAACTGCCTATAGCTTGGCTCATGGAAATATTTGTAATTAAAATAAATTATTACCAAGTATTGTAAAACTCAAGATATGCTCTAGCAAAAACCCATATTTGGGGTCTCTCTCGGAAAAACAACACCTGACAGTATTATGACTGACATTCATTACATGATGGTCCAGTCACAGTCTGATCCCTTCGGATGAAATCTAGTTTTTCATTTTGTCACAGTCCCTATCACTCTCTACTGCCCCCTGCTGTTTCTGTTTATTTTCACTAGAGGGCCAGCACCCTTGTTTCCATTCCTTATTAGTCATTCCCCCCCCCCCATCTCTAGGCAGTTCTACTTAGATCCTTGCCTGACCCCTATAGTTCTTTCAGGAATGTATTTGTTCACCAAACAACGTCCTGAAAAGCTGGGCTATAAAACAAAAAGGGACTTAGGACCTCATAATTTTTGGATGAGGAGGCACAGCCTCAGTGAAGAGGTTAAGAAAGAACTTAAGGCAAAAAAGAAAAAGAAAACAGAAAAAAAAAGAAAAAATTGGAAAATATAGGACTGTATCTAGAAGCACATAAAACTATTTTTAAAAAGCAAACTCGCACCTAAGTAGTTACTTTCAGTTTAGTTTGCTCTGCTTATTATATTTGTGCTAATACTTTCCAACAGACAAATAAGCATAGCAGAGTGTACCAAAGATTTATGAAAAATCCTTGCAGGGGAAGGGAGTGTATACTATTGAACAAATGTCCTCTTTCCCTCCCTCTGCAGGAGAACTGATTTTATTGGGGACACTCAACGGAAGCTGAGAACTGATTCTGTGGGACTTAAGCTCCTACTATGCGCAGAGCCTCTGCTCAGGGAAGAGGGTTGTTCCCTCCTGTCTCTCACTGTGGAGGCTCTGCAGTGAGCAGGGCGCCCACAGAAATGTTGTGTGGCTCAGTCTGCTGCAGAAGGGACAGGATTACTCTCTCTTGCTTGGACTATATTCAATGAGCAAGAAAAATGCTGAAAGAATTGGACCCCAGAAGAGGAAAATGAAACATTACATGAATCCAAGGATGGCATTGCAAAGGCAAAAGGAATTTCTAAGGCACTAAATCAATATTTGGATAAAAGATGAAAAAAAATCTTCTTACCAACTTCAAACAGCTTGGTGGCATTAAAATCCTCACTTCCCGCAAGCAGACTCACTTCGGTGGCAGCTGTCCTGAAAGTGTCTTCAATTCCTAAACATAGACAAGAGCTCATTTTCTCCTCRTTTTTATGGAAAAAGTCACCCCCTCAAAAATAAAAAACAAATACACCTGAACAAAGCCTTTTTTGTGTTCATTACTACTCATGGGCAGAAACCTGCCAACAGAGGAAACAGTAAAAAGCAGGTAGCAGCGCATAAAATATATTAAAACCCCAGATACCATTCACAGCATGAAATCAGATCCAAATGTGCCTGAATGAGTCCTAGTGAACTCCCTTACTCAGCCCGGGGGGATGAGGGTGGGCAGTGGGTGGGGAGGGAGGACATGTCAGTGTGGCTGTCTGCTGGCCTCAGGGTGACAAACTAAATCAGAAGCAGGAGAGTGTAATGGTTAATACTTCATCTTTAATAGACTGACTGTTTGAGATCCAGTCACTATTAGCTTTTGAACTTGGGCAAGTCACTTTGTCTTTGTATGCCTCAGTCCTCACATCTCTAAAATGGGGAGAATTAAAGGACACCCCTCCTACCCTGTACAGTTGAATGAATTGAATGAGTTATGTGTAAAGAGAGCCCAGAGAGCAGCAGGGTAAGTAGCGTTAGCTAATGTTTTCCCTGCAATATTTAGCTAGCTCTGCTTGAAGATGCAGCAGTCCATAATCAAAGACCAGAAGCTGTCTCATATTTTAAAACTTTTAGCACTGCTGTGGATGCTTCAGAAAGAATGAGTTGGGCCATCCATTACTTGCTCTGAGGAACTGAACCCAGCTTGCCTCAAACTTACCAGTTCTCTTCAAAACTACTATCTACATCTTGGTTTCCTTTACAAGGTAAAGAAGAGGAAGAACCTTAGCTTCCATGCTGGGCATGACTTGATTTCCTTGTAGGGGAGTTTTCTGATTTTATACGAGGCTTCTCAAAGACATTTGTGAGGTTGGCCTCACAATTGGACATATTTTACAGCGTAATCACTGCCAGGCCAGGGAGACCCTGTCTGCTTCACGATTCTTTCCAGTAAAGCTGCGAATCAGCAAACCAAATAAGGCAAGAGGTCCTACAAAAGGAGATCTCTTCTTTTCCAAGGGAGCCCTGGAAAGCTGGAATCAKGAGGAGCAGAGAGACAGAAAGAATGGAAGGAGGGCAGACTTTAGAAAACAAATAGGTGAACGGAGGGCTGTTGGCCTTGCTGCTCTCAGGGGTACCAGAAAACAAGAAAGAAATATTCAAAATGGTGGCAGGGAAGAGGCTTCCTCTGACAAGAAATCCAAATCTACAACTTAGGTCTGGGTGACCTTAAGAGCTTTCTCTATCCATGTGTGGCTGAGTATAATACTYTTCTTTCTAGAGAAGTGGAAGGGTTTAGTGGTTCAGAACATGGAATTCTGGATTCAGACTACTTGGATTCAAATTCCTGATAGATCACTTGCTGCTGGTTGTGCCTTAGTCTCCAAAATGGGTACAATAATAAATACCTGTTTCATGAGACTCTTGTAAGGAGTCGATGAAATAATGCACATAAAAATCACAGAAATTTGCTTGATACTTAAGTACACAAAAACTCCTGTTTATCACTGTCTTTTTCTCCTTCAACTCCATCTTATTTTCATTTTCTTTTCTTTATTTCTTTTAAAAATGTGTGTGTGTGTGTGTGCGCACACGCGCGCGTGCAAGCGCACATGTGCTGGGAATGAACCCAGTGCTATGGGCATATTAGGTAAGTGCTGTACCACTGAGCTATATGCCCAGCCAATCTCATTTTTTTTTCTTGCTTTATCTCCTTATTTCCATCAACATCTTCTTTGTCTTTTTCTTCCTATTCTCCTTCTCTTCCTTCTTCAAGTTACATGTCTGTAATCCCAATGAGACAGGAGCCTGAGGCAGGAGGATCTCAAGTTTGAGATCAGCCTGGGCAATTTAGGGAGACCCCATCCCAAAATAAAAGTAAAAAGGTCTGAGGATGTAGCTTAGTAGTAAAGTACCCCTGGGTTCAATCCCTAGTACCAAAATGAATGAATGAATKAATKAATKAATTAAAGGTCAGAGAGTACAAATTTTAGGCTTTTGTGGTCACTTATGGTCTTGGTTGCTACTGTCCCCTCCTCCTCTTCTTTTCAACCCTTTAAAAATGTCTGGGCCATTTAGAAACAGGTCCTAGGCTGGACTTGGTCCATTGGCCACAATTTAACAACCACCATTAGAGTCAATCACGATTATTTTTCATTCCCAATATGATCTTTCACCAAGTTTGCAATTGGCTTAATTTTCAAAGCACTAATGTGGTATAAAACCATAATTAAATGCTACTTTTCCCCAGTGTGCTCTCTGGGTAAGCCCTGGGCAACTCTCAGGTGTCACCAACAGGGCTCTGTGGTTTTTCTGTGGATGGCTATCGACGCTCTCATCCTGGCTTCCTTATCATACCATAAATGTCTATTTTCATGGGCCTCTTCACTTCATAACAAATCCCACATCCAAGGTCCAAACCAACCAGAGTCCCTCCTTTAAATTAAGTAGTACAAGCTGGCATTGTCCTTTAGGTCATGGCTGCTCCCACTGTGTGTAAGACTCAGAAAGTCCATCTTTTCATCCTTTAAGCTCATTAATTATCTCCTATTGTTTCACTTTGTCAGAAGTCTTTCTTTTATTGGGGCACTAGGGATCAAACCCAGACTTTCATGCCTGCCAGGTAAGCACTCCAACCCTGCTCTGAGCAGAAGTCTGATTAGCTAAATTGCTGTTTGGTTGTTGCTGTTGTTTTTAACAATTTAAAAATATAAGTTTATGGAAGTTTTAAAATATACACTTAACATTTTTCCCTTGAACTTGAACCCAGAGCCCTGCATGAACTTACCCGGGCAGTTTGGACGGTCACAGGTTCTAGACTCKGTCGCAGTGCACGCGTAGCCACAAGACCGGGTTCGTTTCTGGTTGCCATTCCCACAGGTGACGCTGCAGACAGACCAAAGACTCCAGTCACCCTCACCGTCTGTGGAATCTGGAAGGGAGCCACAGAGATGGTCATCAACCTTACCCAGAGTCCCCAAATCTCCTCTGTCCAACCATCTGCCAATTGTCTATTTCCATCATTCTTACCATTGGAGGGGACAGTTGCCAGTTGGAGCCAAGAGGCTTTACAGCTCCAGGGACCATTTTAGGACTCAGCCTTGTGAGGACAGAGAGGTTCAGGGCACTGTGGTGATCAGTACATAGCTAGGACCCGACCCCTGGAACATGCCTGGGGAGATTCTTATTGAGAATACATACATCCTGCAGACCATGAGATCACAGAATAATATGCTAAGCAATTTCCACAGATGACTATCATCAATTCTTTCTTACCCTATGGAGGGAAGGAGGAGAGGGAAGAGAGAGAGAGAGGGAASGGGGGGACTGAAGGAAGGAAGGATGGAAGGAAGGAAAAGGTGAATCTATGTCCTCTTGTTTTGAATCTGGGCTGGCCTTGACCTTATTTCCTGGCAGCTTCCTGTTTTTACCCTGGGGAATGTTGTCACTGCTAAAGAAGCCCAAGTGAAATCTATGAATGGGACAGGGCCTGGAAAGAGAAGATCAAGCTACYTGAAGACCACACAGGCCACAGACATGTGAGTGAAGCTTTTTGGACCCTTCCAGACCCTCCCAGTGTACAGGTGAATGCAGCTGATGCCATCAAGTCCCCGTCTGAACTCCTGAACCAGTAAGTTATAAGAAATAAATAAAACTGTATTTTATTTAGAGACAGGGTATCACTGAGTTGCGTAGTGCCTTGCTTTAGCTGAGGCTGGCTTTGAACTCACAATCCTCTTGCCTCAGTCTCCTGGGCCACTGGGATTATAGGCGTGCAACACCACATCCCACTGTGGCTGTTTATTAAGCAGCAAGTTTGGAGTGGTTTTCTATACAGCAGTAAATAACAGAAACATTAAAGGTAAAGCTAGAAATGTCCTTTGAGGTCATTACTTAACATCCCTTCCACAAATATTAATTGATCCCTCAATATATGTCAGGCACAATTTTAGATATTCATGAAGAAAAAATTTCAAAGATCCCCGCTATGGGGGAACTAATATTTTAATAAGAAAAGGGAGTCAATATTAAATAACACAAAAATGAATAACTTATATAGTATATTAGAATTGATGAAAGGCGTGGGAAAAGAAAGAGTGGATCAGGCTAATGGGGCCATGTGAGTGGGAGAGGATAGTGCATCATCAACCACTTTCTCTTATCAGTAGTGAAAAGTCTGAGATGGCTGGGGACTCTCGTGCAGGGTCCTCAGGTTAACAGAAAGGAAAGCTTGGGCTCTAGCCCCAAGCCCTTGCTCTCAAAAGCACGACTCTTTCTGCTGCACCTCCTCTCTGTGTAACAGTCTCTCCTGGTTTACCYACATCTTCCAATAGCCCTGGGGCCTTCTGGGTGCCAAGCACAAGGCTACAAGTATGTAGGTTGCAGGAAAGAGATACCTTCCATTCATAACAGGTCATGGTGATTGTTCCTATGTAGGCCCAGCAACCAAGACTGTTCTGATCACATGTATCTACCTGAGCTGTGGCCTTTGCTGGCTCCCAGGCTGTTGTTGACAAGTTAATTCACTCTGAACACTCCTCAGGCAAACTCAGGGCTAGTAAGCCTCCTCCACCCATTAACCAGAACCACAGTRTGTGGGTAGGGAAGGTGCTTCATAGTTGTATCCTCTTCCCTRACTCAATAGAGAGTTTGCTCATACCTCATCTGCTCTCAGAGGCACCATCCATTTTTCTTTCCTCCCCCCCAAAGATTTTTTTCTGAACTTAGATTTTCTTTTAAAAATGGTTTCTCAACTGCATGGCCAACCAGATATTTGAAACTATTGCTTTGTGTTTAGGAACTGAGCCTCATCTCTCAGGATTAGTCTCTTTCATCTCTACCATCTCTTATTAAGCATCCATCCAGAGGAGGAAGCTACCAAGGGGGGCGGACACTGCTGCTTCTGAGATCTGTATATTCTTATATCTCTTCAAAATCTCCCAAAGAACACCAGAGATGTACCTGGACAATCACACAATCACAGGCTTGTTGGTGAGTTCACCCAGGTGCAACGGGTTACACCATATAWTACATACTCCATCACTTCCTGCACAAACCAATGAGGCCAGGTTTTGTTCAAGGGCACCAAGAAATGTCATAAGTAATTTTATAATGTTTTTATAGTCATAAAAGGGGGGAGCAAACAAGTTAAAAATAGCCTATTAAGGGCTAGGGGTTGTAGCTCAGTGATAGAGTGCTTGCCTAGCATGTGAGGCACTGGGTTTGATCCTCAGCAACCCATAGAAATAAACGAATAAATAAAATTAAAGTATTGTGTTCATATACAACTAAAAAAAATTTTTAAATAGCCTTTTAATCATACACACACACACAAAAAAAATTCATGACACTTGTGAAGTGGGTATCAGCATGTGACATAATTCAGTGATGCCAAGCAGTGTTTTTCCTGATTTCACAAAAGCAAAGGGGACTCAGCTATCCAGAAATCTCATGTAGCCTTTCCTTTCCATTGCAGCAATGTAGAGAGATAATTTGGGGACTTATCTCTAAACATTAAGAGTTTAGCATTAAACTCACTGTGAGGCTTGTTTTAGAATCTTTGGGTRAAGTTTGTTTCTTGCTTTGGTTTCTTGATCTAAGTGATTACATGCTAATACTGTATACGATTATATGGAAAATGATGCCCTTAATTCCTCTCTCCATGTCCACTCCCTTGGTTAGTCCTCCTGCATGCTGATCCCAGACTGGACCACGGTGACATGCTTTGGCCAATGGGATAACAGGAAATATGATATAAATGGAGATTTGCAAAATRTCCATATGAAGACTTGCCACCACCATGTGAAAAGCCCAGAAGCTTTCTGGAGGCTGAGGGATCAGGTGGGGAGAGACTCCAGCCCTCCATCTGAGCATCTCAGCTGTCTAGCTGGGGCCCTATCATTGTGAATGAGGCCTTTGGAGACCATCAGCCCCATCCAAACCAGCCCAGACCAGATAAATAGTACAGACAACCCACAGATGCATAAGGAAGGAACTTTTGTTCTTTAAAGTTGCTGAAATCAGGGATTTCTTTAAGCAGCAAAAACTAATGATTACAAATATATCACAAAATCTTCCCAAAATATGTTATATAGGCATCTGTCAGATACTGGAGCCATCAAGGATATATCTCCCATTACGTGGCTTCTCCATGTCTTTATTTGTAATGCTCACAAAGCTATTTTAGTTTTAAACTTTTTTGAATGGATTCTTTAAAGGTAGGTATAGAACTTAGATCCATTAGATTATTCAGTGTTATCAAGGCTAGCAATGAAGTGGAATGATCTTCCAGGAGGAGGTGTGCGTGTCAGCTACTCCCCTGAAGCCTTCATCACATACCAGTTCAGACCAACATCTCAGCAAAGATATTTTATGTGGTTGAAGGACAGAAAGAGGATTTCTGATAGGGACAAAGCTTGAGGGCAGTAGTCTTATCTTCTATAGTAAAACAAACTTGTTCTTATTTGTTCATCTATCAGAGAGTATTGTTCAGAGCAGAACATGAGTGACTGAGCAATAATCACAAAGATAACAATGACAGGACTAAAAAAAAAAAAAAAACAGTTCCAAGGAAAATTTATATGGTGTTTTGACAGTCCCTAGCATTGGTAGTCCTATCTATGACATCCTCAAGGAGGGAATAAAATGATTCACAGTGTTGTGGACTGATAACTTGGTTTCAAGGAGGCCATTGGAAATTATAAAATAGTTCTTGTACAGTTTCAGAGCATTAGAGTTCTGTGGTTCAGTAAAGTGTCACAGCAACGGAATATACCTGGATCATGACAGTCGTTGGCAAACCTGGACCACTAATGCTATTGATAGTGGTTACACTTAACTCATAATAGCTCTGAGAGGTAAATGGAAACATCTTTCTTTAATGGACAAGAAAACAGGCTCAGAGAAGTAAAAAGGGCTTGCCCAAGGTTACACAGCTCAAACTCAGCAGAGCTCAGTTTAGATCAGAGCTCCTTTGCTTCCACCTTATCCAATTACCCTGTCCTGGTATTCCAGCAGCTTTGATTCTGGTCCAAGTTGGGCACCCCTCTTTTATGCACTCACTGATATGACCGTAATTCAAGATAACAAAGAAAAATGCGTGAAAAAAAAAACACTGTTAAATATTCTGTTAAACTGGGACATGATCATTTAGAGAATTTCAATGAACTGAGTCCTAACTCGGGTACCAATAATCAGTGCCTACCTAATTGCATTGTGAACAAGTTTGAGAATGGTATGCTATCATTAGACAGAGAAATATTTATTGAGTTCCCTGTGCTCTGTACCTGGCAAAAACACAGTTCCTGGAGCTGTTCTGAGAAGTACTAATGATGCACTAATTCTGCTGGTGCTACAGAAAGCCTACAATGTCCACAGACCAAGGGAGGTTCCAGGGCCAGTGGGGCCAGCTCCACCTGGGCTCTTGCACATTTCCTACACATACTCCATAAGAAATTACACTAAATAAAAAAACTGATTGACGGCCATGTGCAGTCTGAGGCGCAATGCTTGAGAGACGTGGGAAAGGACAAGATTTTCTTTAGAAAAATAGCAATATCCTGGTATCTAAGGAGGCAGAAGTGTTAACTAAGATACTCCAAAATCATAGAAGATCGAGCTTCTGATGACCCAGGAATGCTGTAAGATCCTGATGCATGGACCTCAAAGGGAACTTGCAGTAGAGGAAGCTTGGGTGAGGATGGCTGAGGCAGCCCAAGCTGCTGCTCTGGTAGAAGCAAATTCTATCCTCAAGATTGAAAGTGAAAGGACATTTTTTAATGATCATGAATTCAGCAAAGTAGACTCTGCAAAAGTTTGAGATGAAAAAGTTGTTTCTAGCAGTGGCCTTCAAACTTGAATTAGCATTGAGGATCACCTGGTGACCTTGAATGGAAAAATAAAGAAGATTGGATAGATGCTAGGTCTCATTTCCTATACCTTCCAATTCAGTACATGGAGAATAGTGGCTTTCAACCTGGTCTGCACCTATGGAGCTTTAAGTGACAATAATGTTCTGGACCCACCCCCAGAAATCACAATGTAAATGACTTGGTGAGAGGGCTAGCCAACAAGATTTCCTTTTCTTTTTCTTTTTTTAAAGTTCCACAGGTGAGTATAATGAGCAAGAAGGTTGAGAACTACTAATTTCACATAGTAGTGCTCAAGGCTTCATATCCCCCCTGCAGGTTTCTTTCTTTCTTTTTTTTTTAAAGAGAGAGTGAGAGAGTGGGAGAGAGAGAGAGAGAGAATTTTTAATATTTATTTTTTAGTTCTCGGCAGATACAACATCTTTGTTTGTATGTGGTGCTGAGGATCGAACCCAGGCCGCACGCATGCCAGGCGAGCGTGCTACCGCTGAGCCACATCCCCAGCCGCCCTGCAGGTTTCTTTTAACATAAATTTCTGAACCTACCCTAGAATGTCTGACTTAGTAGATCTTGGGGGGAGCTTGAAGATTTGTATTTTGATCACATTCACGGGTGCTTTTGGTTTGGAGGCCACACTTGGAGTACCATTGGTATATAGGGAAGGAGTTAGGACCCAGAATTGGCATTCTGATGTCCAGCATCTGAGCCCCCCCTCCTTTTTGAAACAATATTCTTTGTTGGTTTGGCTTGGAATTCTCTGCAACAGAGAATTCCCAAATTTTCTTTTTCTCCTATTCAACAGCACAGGCCTTTTTTTCCTCTTTCTGTCTTCCAATTTAAGCATTCATAATGAGATCTACTCTACTGTCTTAAGAGATGTGCTGCTTTTCCCCTAGAGAGTATAATGATATAGTAGTTAAGAGACAGATACTGGATTAAGAATGTCTGAGTTGAATCCCAAGTCTTGAACCTTGAAGTTGAGTTGCTTAACACCTTCAAGCTTTATTTTTCCCATCTGTACAATGGAGCATGTACCTTAGAGAACTCACTAAATAAAAYAGTATGTGTGAAATCCCATGAAGAGGGACTAGTGCATGGTGAGTACTTATAAACACTGGYGACTGTCCCCAATCCTTTCTCTTGGAAATGGATAAATTAGATATCCTTTGGGAAAAGCAAAGTTTTCGTGAGCTTCCTGGATTGAAGGGGTGTGCATTCTCTTTCTACTCCCTTAGCATTTGATGTATATTTCTATCATGGTACTATTTTGCCCTATCAGTTATTTTTKCCCTTTGTCCATAGATAGGTAAGATCCTCTTTAGGGAAGGACTATATCTTACTTATATTGGACTTCCAGCACCTAGCCTAGTGTTAGATATAATTCATGCCCTTAGTGAATATTGACTGAATAATGGAATTATGTAGCTGGAAAAAAGACTGTCTTAATATTTTGGAAGTTGCCAAAATTATCTCCTAGCAAATAAAAATGACTCTCCAATATATAACCTGTCTTTCTGTAGAAAAATGGGGTAAAGGTGATATTGAAAATGGTGCAAGTCATCCTGGTCATATACTATTCATGCAAGTCACAAGAATATCATGAGGATGGGTGCATTTGTAAAACATCAAATATTCTTATAACATGCTACCTGAATTCCCCAGATCAGTAAAATCTGTTTCCGCCTTTCATTGGATACACAGAATATCTTTCCTATGAGGGGTCATAAGACTAGATCTTTCCAGTAGAATTTGAGTAGTAGATATGATGTGCTGAAAGGTTAAGAGCATATGTGCCCTCTCCAGGATCCCACTTATTCCTTGGATATCAACTGGTTGCAGAGCATCTTGGGAATAACTCTCAGGACCTATCAGTTGACGGAGTTCCAGGATGGAAGGAGGAGGCTGGACACTTGAATGGAGCTGAATTCCCTCTACCTTCTATCATCCTATCTCAATTTAAGTAAGAATTGAAGTTTTACTATTTGAAGTCAATGAACTTGGAAATTGTTTGCAAACTCACTTATCCTATTCTAAACACTAGGAAAACTAGGACTCTCAACTTAGGGGTCTTAAAACTTATTAGGAGAGGGCTTACTTTGACAACCTGTGACACACATGTTCATGTGGATTCCCAAGGGCTATTTCACTGGTGATATCAAACATAACACAGTTTCTTGGTCAAAGGAAGCAGCCATCTACATCTCTTTTATTAAATTGATTTTAATTTGAAATTTTACATCAAAAAAAATAAAAGGAAGTTAATTTAATGATTTGTTTTTAGAAATAAAACCAAAATTTGGGGCAAGACAGAAAGAACCCCAAAGACCCTAAAAAAGTTCTCTCCTAGGATAATTGGGATGATTTTAAAATTATAGTCTTTTTAGAAAAATGTGGCTGCTGGTGACTCCTTGGAGCTTCTGCAGAACAAATCCTTTTTGAGGTATGCCTCGTAGAAGGCTAAGAGCCACATACGATAAACAGGGTTTTGCTTGGCTCCACATCTGTTAGGCCTCATCATCCTCATTTATTCTCCCCACCAACTTTATATTACTGGGTGGTAAACTCACCATATTCTGGCTGCTCTTTGGTTTCAAGTGTCCGGTGGCCTGGGGCCGGACGGTCCCACCCTCTGGGGGGGTTGAGGAAGTTGCTGTCGTCTGAGGTACTGTCATACTTGTAGTCCTGGTCCCCGCTGTTTGCCCTCGCCAAGGACAAGGACCTCTGCCACCAGGCCTGCCAGTCGGGGGACGGGACTGACCAGCTGGGCTTATTCTCCGGATGTTGATCTTTATCTGCTTCAGAGTCAGGACCGTCGACCACCTCTATGGTGACCTGAGGAATTCAGAACAGGTCAGGGTCAATGTGGAGTCAATAGCCTCCAAGCTATGTGACCCTTGGAAGAAAGTCTGAGAGAGTTGAGGGAAATGATTGTTTTATCCCTTGTGAGATTGTCTGGTGAGAGACAATGGGAAACACCCAGGGATGGCCAACATGATTCCACAATTAGATGGAACATGGCCTTAGGTCAGGTGAAACAAGGCCTTCCTCAGGCTCCTGATTTGCTGGCGACTAAGTTGTCATCAGTAAGTCTTTAATGCAAGGGGTAAACAGGTACTCTMTGAGTTCCTGAAGTGATAGAAGAATAATCATAATAAAACACAACACTCACTGAGCCTTAACTCTGTATCAGACACTGTTCCAAGTGTTCTGCCTATATGAGTTTATTAAATCTTCGTAGCAACCTTCTCTCCCTCTATGTGGCACACTGTACATCAATTGGTGGAGTCTGTTTCCCCTCCCTTCCAACTTGAGCAGGCTTTATGACTCATTTTCCAGTTGAATGGATAGGAGTGATACTGGTAGGTTTAAGGGGTCTTTTAACTTCAGCTTTCCTTCTCCTGGAATGTCCCTACTGGTATGTATGTAATGAAGTCCAGCCCAAATCACTACCTGTGTAGAAGCCACATAAAGAGAGAGATTATGTGGATGAGAACTGAGATACCTCAGCCAAATTCTAGCTCCAAGTGTGACTGGGGCCATCTTGGATCTGTCCCAGTTGTATCACCCCTAGTGATACCACATGGAACCCAGGCAAGCTTTTCCAGCTGAGCCTTGCTCAAATTCCTGACCCACATGAGCATGAGCAATCCAGTGGTCATTGTTTCAAGCTGTTAATTTTTGGAGTGGTTGCTAGACAGCAATGGATAGCTTGTGTGTGTGTGTGTGTGTGTGTGTGTGTGTGTGTGTGTGTGTTGCTGGGGTCGAACCCAGGGTCTCATGCATATTAGGCAAGCACTCTACCACTGAGCAACATCCCAAGCTTCTTATAGACAGAGAAGACTGGCACACATAGACATTAACAAAATGTGTAAGTTCCTAGAGTGAGGAAATGGCAGACACGGGAGTCAGGCTCCAGAGTCCATGCTCTTACCAACTCTGCACACTGCCTCTCAAAAACTAAAGGATACAAGTACACTCTCATGAGACCCATGGAACTGGTGGTGGGCTGGAAGCTACARGGTGTGCAGAGATATAAGCACCAGATCCTCAAGATCAGGCTTCCCCAATTACAATTTTTACTCTTCCTGTAGTTTAACACCAGCCCCAGGGTCAAAGCAGATAGTCTCAGAGCTAAGGTTAAAACTTGTTCTTTGAATTGACAGAGCCTAGTTTTGAGGTCTGTCACGGGGCTGGAAGAATGCAGTTTCTTGGCTCCAAGAGACAATCAACATAGAGAAACTTGTTTAAAAATATAATAAAAGACTCATTGGGTTCCTTTGGCCATCACATAGCTCTTGCAACACCCACTGGATGAGTTATGTGCAAATGAATCAGAAACATGCACTTCAAGTAATCAGCGCAAGATGTACTGGGCAGATGCATTCCCAATTTCACCCTGACCCAATGTCTGAAGGGTTTCTTGAGATGCTCTGCCAAATTGCACTGGGGTGTGCCCATCCCTAAGACAAACAGCCCCTTCCTTTTGTGAAACGCGGAGGTTTGAATCCTGTTCACGTTGACATATGAAGGAAGCTACCCAGCCAGTGGTGGTCCTGGTCTGTGATTCTTAAGGTCCAGACACAAGGTTAAGAGTATACTTGGGTGGCAGACAATCAAATGCAACTTTCACTCCTATTGCAGGAGGTCTATAAGATACCGTGAGCTTTATTCCATGCCACCACCATTACTATAGTCTTGTAGGCACCCCTTGCATATTTATAAATAATTACACAGCTTTTCAAGTAATTACAGAAAAGAAAAATAAAGAAATAGGAAAACATCACATCTGTTATATCATTGCTATTTGCTAGGATGGATGGCCAAGGGAGAGTTAAGGTCACTGGGACCCACATGGAACCCAGTGAAGAAGAAATGCATAGCTGGGTGATGCAGAACTGACCAGGGCAGGGATGAGCAATGCTGAGTCTTTGAACACAACCTTTCTCCTTTGCAGCTCTGAGTGCACTGCTTGCAGACAGAACGAGTGAATAGTAACCATCGTCTGCAAGGCTATTAAGGGTCGTGGAGGGGAGAGGCTGCCAAGAGCCAGGCAAACCTGCAATTATGGTAATGAAATCAGTCTCTGGGTAGGAGATAAGGGGGAATGTGCCCAACAGTTTTGGTATTCCATTTGTACTCAAACTGGAGTCAAAAGGATTGCTTAAACAAAACGTGCCCTGCAATTTCTCCAAGCTGGGAATAAAAACAATTTCATGTTTCAAGCTATTACTGTCAATACGATTTTTTTTTCCCCCAAATTGCTGCTCAGATCCAAACAAAATAGATTTCTTGCCTGGCCAGGCAATGAGTAGCAAAATACAAATTTACTCCAAAAACTATATCAATGACTAAATCTCAACAGCTTAGAGGTTTCTTTTTTCCCTTTAATTTCTAGCCACTGCCCAAAATGAATTACAAAACAAAACAAAAAACAAAWCTTAGGATACACCCTTCTCTACAGTTAACAATGTGGAAACCTCATACTGATATCAAAAGAAGAAATCTAAATTGAACCTGAAATTTCATAGGCATCCAATTAAGAAGACAATGAGCATGCTAAATCACTTCTCAAATGGTAGGAACTAGTTTTACTTCCTTGAYGCTCTTACTCTGTTTGCATGTTTTTTAGTATCAAGGAATCCTTTTGTAAAGATGTCTTAAAAAATGATCAGTGTGAAAGAGCTGGAGACATGGAGTGGGCAGATTTTCCAGCTGACTCTAGGTATCTCTATTCTTTCTGATCCTTAATACATATATTGAACTTAGTATGTTTGTTTCTTCTGGACTTTTCTACTCCGCCAATCAAAATGGCAAAAGAAAGAAAACTCTTTCAAAAGCTCCAGGTCTAACTTTTGGCAAAACCTCCCTAGCTCCAAGAAAGAGAATCCAAAATAAATGCCAGTTTGGAGAATTCTATCCAAAAYCAGAAAAATGAGGATAAGGTCCTAGGCACTTTGATCAGCTTTTCTTCTTTTGATAGTTAAAACTATCCTCTGATTGTATCTTGTGGCACCTATGGCCATGCAAACATATCTGTTCAAGGAGAAAAATAAATCTTTCTTTACATGACTGTTTTTAAGTCCCTCTCAATAGAAGGAAAAAAAAAAGTAAGTATATTGGTTGAAATGAATACTAACCTCAGTTTGATCCAGAGTTGAGAAATGGTTGTGAATAGCAACTATGGTAATGAATTGGTGCAGTACGCCTAATATAAGGAGTTTAGTTTGACTCTTTACTCTTGCTCTGAAAAACACTTTCCATAGAGAAACTAAGACAATTCTCAGTCTAACTGATGCCACTGAGTCTACAGAAGCCATGAGAGCCATCCAAGACCTGGAAGAGTCTTCTTGCTTGTTGGCTGAGAGGACTGGGTGGGTGCATCAGTATTTTCCACAAAGAAAAACAATTTCCATGTGAATACAGAGCATCCAGGGGCATGTCTGCAGCAAAGGATTATGCTAGCCTTCATTCCTTGATCATGACATGAACCAGGAAGATTTTAATCCTCTTGTCTCAAACCCACAGATGCTCTAAAGACCACTGTGGCACCCTCAGACAATTGTGATCAGTGCTTTGAGATCTGTAGCAGCATGCTTACCCAGACATTACTGCCTGTTTTATGCAATTTAGACCCAATTTCCAGGCACAGAAACTGCTTGGAGAATTCAGATTTCTCAGGGAAACAGCAAGGAAGGTGTAGAGATGGTCTTAAACTAGGTCTTCTGACTCTTGATTAGATTTATAGTTTTTGTTTTTCTCATCCCCATTATCCTCACCAATCAGCATCTCTCAGTTCTGAGAAGTTTACCAGGTACAAAGCCYTGAGCTAAGTGCTTTATATGGATGATCTGATGTAATCCTCAGAGATAACCATACTTAAGTGTAGCTTTACACTACAGAGGTATTCATAGGTATTCATATTTCAATTTTATAGACAAGGGAATAGAAGCACAGAGAGGTTAAGGAACCTACAGAAAGTTACAGAGCCCCAGTCTGGCTTACTAAATGGTGGTGCCAGATCCCCAAAGCAGGTTAGTCAGACTCCATAATTCATGCTATCGATGGCAACTCCCTATGAGAATCTGAACAAGACAGGCCTTTCCCATGGTTGTGTGGGTCAGTATCTTGGACTCAGACATTTCTTGAGTTTTATTCAGCCAGATCCACCATCCCAAAAGTATTTGGAGAGAAAGGAGGAGAGAGAATCAGAAGTAGGAGCATGAATGACATTTGTAGCCCTGGCCAACTCCTCTGATTGTATCTTATGGCACTAAGAGGCCTAAGACCATGTAAATAAAACTGTGCAACAACCAAAAAAAAAACCCTCTCAATGGAAGAAAAGAAATAAGGATATGCTAAAATGAATACTAACCTGGGTTTGATCCAGAAAAGAGAAATAATTGGTGGTAAATAGCTACTGTAGTAATGAATTGTGCAGCAAGCATAATAATGAGTTTATTTTTGAGATTTTTGTCTTTGCTATCTGACCATCAGCTGAAAACCAAATATTCAGCCAAAGATACTAAAGTTCAAGTCTAACTTGTCCTGAGGGATTTACTTTATTTCCTGAAATGTTTTTGTTTTGTTTTGTTTTTTAACAAAACCCAACTTCTTGTATTGTTTTAAATTTAACATGGAGATGAAATTCATTTCAGGAGCTTGATGTCATTTTTCCCCTATTTTAGTTTCCCCCACTCACTTCCACAGCCTGAAGCTAGGCTTATAATGGAGAATCTGATTTACTTAAGATAGAAGCTCCCTGACTTATAGGGGTTAAAAATCCTCCCCAGAAGCAGATGTTGGGGCTTTTATAAAGATTCCCCACATTAAAAATCAAGAGGCCTGAGCAACTTGGCTCTTTGCAAGGGCTCAGCAATGTCACTTGGGAAAGGTGAATGCTGTTTTCCTGGGAGGGATGGAAGACCTGGTCCTGGAGTGTGGGAAACAATTCTAGAGCTTGGAGTAGTGGTGGGGTTCAGAGAGAGGGGTATTGAATTCCTGTTCAGCTCCTTGGCTCCAGCTAGGGATAACTAGGTGGGGCAGGGGCAGGGGCAGGTTGCCAACGGAGGGAGCAGATGAGGCCAGAGGCCCTGGCAGAGGAAGCCCACCCACTGGTGTGCCCCTCACCTGTCTTCACTCCACTACCCAGGGAGAGAAAATGCTTTGATGACAGCAGGGCTGTCTGCTTGGCTGAATTGGCCCTGTGTCAAAGCAGTGGACTGCAACCAAAGAGCAGTCCTCGAAGAAAGGAGTAAGGGCTGCCAACAGAGAAACCATCACCCTCTTTTAGAAAGCACCTCATGTTTTAAAGGACCACCAGGGAACTGGTTTACTCAAGTGCAATGGTGCATGGGACTGCAGTCGCTTGTGCGTGCACACACACAAACTCTTACACGCAGGCGTAGGACTGCAGCTCCAAGGGGTAGCAGCTGCTTCATTCTTTCTTTGTCCCAACACTAGCTAGCACAGTTCAGTTTTACTTAGGGCCAACAAGTCATCAGATCCATAAAACACTGGTCATCCGTAATACCTGTATTGCCTGAAGAATGTGCGCAGATGCAGGGGTTGTCTAAAGCGGAAATGCAAAACCCAGCTGGCAGTATGCAAAAAAAGTGGTATCAGCCAAGACTTCTTGGATAGTATGTACTTTGGGACTGCAATAATTTTAAACCCATCCTGTTGATAACTCTGGTATTTGGAGCTGTGGTGAAACCTTTACTCTTGGGAATTATGGTAGTCTTTGATATTCAAAAGGTACCTCCAAAAAATATGGAGACCTCCTAAGAGCAGCCTTGTTCCTCTTTCTCCACTCTATCCTCCAAAGCACCTCTCTTGGAAGTGYCTAGAGGTAAACTTCTTCTTCCTATGCTGGGATTGGATAAGACAAAGTGAAAACAAAGCATTAATTATGACTTTTTACCTTATAAGTCTACATAAGTAGATGGCTTGGAGTCTCAGAGGATATGAAGGCGAATGATTTCCACTTGTAACCATATTTTTGTGACAGCACAGGGAGATGCTGCATTTTATTTTATTTATTTATTTGCTMTTTTTGCAGTGCTGGTGCTCATGGAGGTTAGGCAAGTACTCTACCACGAATTACAACCCCAACCCAGAAGCTGCATCTTATRAAATCCAAGAGGCTTTGCCAGACAGAACCCCATGCTGTGAGTATCCATGGTCCAGTGTGGCCTTCTCATAATTCATCCTACATTTATTTTCTGTCCCCATGCCTCACTCTTTTCACACCCAGCAACTCCAGGCAGCTCCCTCTTCCTTCAGGAAGCTGGACAGAACTGTTCAAAAGTGTTCCTTACTTCTCATCTGCTAAATGACACAGCTTTGTACAATGAATGATGAATTACAATCTCGGTTGCTCTACTAGCCCATGTACAAATCTATCAGTAGCAACCATGAGGTTGCCCACTTTCTTTTTTTTTTTTCCCACTGTTCTTCCTTAACACTTAGGAAATATTTTTAAAATGGCCAAGTGGGGTCTGGGGAGGGGATAGGCATTTCCACATTGATGCATTTATCTGGGAGAAAGAAAAAGGATAAGAATTGTTCTGCCTCCAAACTGAGTTCATTACTAGAGCACAGGTACCCAATAACTTTGGGGTAAGGGAAGAGTTGAAAAGCCTGCAGCCTTCCATTCTCCATGTGTCCAGGCATTTCCTGTAACACGACATTAATAATTTTTAAAAYCTATTACTCTCATAGCTCAGGTTTTGACATCTAGCCCCATGGTGACATTTCTACCTCTAGCAAAATGCTAACCATAAGAAGCTTAAGATTGTTTTGGGTGTGGTCTAAGCATTCTTGGGGTGAGGGCTGTCTGGTCCTGGAAGCATAAAATCTATAAACTATGAAAAGTTACCTCCTACGGGGGAAGCCATGATAGGGAGCAACAGTATGAAGATGCCTATGCTTTATTTATTTATTTTATTTGGGTGAATCTATACCTCCCCCAAGTGGATCCATTATTCTTTACCAGAAAGCCATGTGGCAATTTCCCAGAGAAGGATCACTGTAGCAAAAGCTTCATTTTTCCAGTTATTTAATTACAAGACTCATCAAAAATATTAATCAGGGCAGGCAGTCTTTCTTCTGCATAGGTTGTCAAACAGTGACCTCTAAATCATTTTTCACTTGTCTAGCATCCAGAGCCCTGCCCTGCTTCTTCTCATCTGTTGGCATTTGTCCCCCTTGGAACACTGTGCTTTTTCCTGCTCTGTTCTCATGATCCTTCTGGCACTGTCTTATGTGGTAGCTGGGATGTTGACACCTATGTCATTTCGTGAAAAGAACAGGACTTGAATTTCTTAATTTCCCATAACCTGATACTATGTTTTATACCYGGCAGGGGCTGGTTGAAGTATTCTAATGAAGTTGTGCTCTCAGAGACATTCATCACCCATCATGACACCGTTGTTTATGAGCAGAACAACTTTGTTCAAGGAAACTGGTTTAAAACTGTATCATACAAAGAATGTTGAAGGGGGAGGAGAGAAAGGGAGAGAGAGCGATAACTCATTAAAGATCAATTGCTCTGATTTCAAGTTCGTGAACTTTTAGTCATATAAGCCAATTGGCATTTGGTGCAGAGGAAAAGCTGTTCCTACATAAATGAAAAGAATCAGTAAAAAAGCTTAAAATAATGAAAGCAGGCATATTAGGACAGAAAAAAGTAGGGGCTAGACTGCCTACGGGGTGGCTTCCCTCAGCCATCAGGGGGACCCCATTGGGGAATAAATAGAGGGAGGTACAAATAACATTAAAAACAGAGGAGTTTGTCTCTGAAACATGGATTAGTGGGGTAAATATTCTTGAGGGTCTGGATTTCGGCCTGACAACTACTATTTAGTACCTATGTAACTGTGGTAAACCAAATAGTCATTTCCTGGGTCTGTTGTGTTACTTATAGTGTTGGAAAAATGACATTTGCTTTTGTTTCTTTCTTGAGRGTGTCTGGGGGGTCAGATCAGATCACCATTTGCTTTGCAAAGGATACTAGACTATTTCAGTGTAGATGAGTATTCTTATTTTCAATCCCAGGAACCCTTTCTTCCTCTCACCATCACTTCTCCCTATTTCATCCAATCACAGTGGTACATATTTATATTTCTCTTAGGAACTTCCATTCTCATCTTCCTTCCTCTCATTTTTTAAGGTTTTTTTTTTTATCAGTTATTTACACTGTAGAGCACCTGGAGGTTGTTCCCTCTTGAAGGAGTTCCTCATGCTAGAAAGGCTCCAAAAGGAAGTGCTGTCCTGAATGCTACCAAACTRTTTGCCCACTCTATTCACAAGCTACACTAGTTCTTTCCTACAGCTACCACTTTTCATCAATTTTTGGGTGTACTATTCTGTTTTGTCTTTTTGATACTTCATGCCTCAGAAGTCAGAATGTGTCTTATAGTCCTTGTTATGTCAAACTTTGACAATTTTTTTTTGGCAGGTGTTGGTTCATAAAATAATGGTGTATCTCACAATGAAGGATTTTGCAGAGAAGAAAATCAACAGTGTTCTTAGGGAGATAACATTATCATAGGCAGGAGTGGCTAAGGGGTTAAGAAGAAAAGTGAGGTCAGGCAGCAGTTTCCATTAGAGTCAGATCAGGAAACAAAAGATGGACTGTTTGATTTTCTTCCACCTTCCAGCTGCCAAGAATTACCTGGATATTTGGATTCTGCCCATTGATATCAGCTTTGGAAAGATCCGGAAAGTTTGGTAGATCAAGGAGAAAGGATCTGGGGCCATCTCTTTGCAGTGAAGGGTGCCCAGTCCCTTGTGAGAATCGCTGTCTGGGAAAGGGCTGATGTGGAGCCTGGTGCTCCAGAGGGTCCCCTGGTGCTTCTTTGGAGAGAGCAAAGTTGGTTTCTGATGTGGAGTCACTTTCCAGGTTGAGGTTATTCTGAAACAAAAAACAAGCAAACAAACAACTAATTAGGAGGCACCTGAATAAAAATACCACTCTTAACAGTYCCTTAAATTCAGGAGCAAGGACAATTCCAGTGGCTGGAATTAAGCCAGAATAGTATTTCTAACTCATTTTACTATCTCTTTGAGTTTAAAAAGCCAAAGCATCAGGAAATTTCTCCCAGTCTGGTACTTGGGGATTTTCTGAGRGTTAATGGGTTATTGACTATTTACTAAGCACCAAAATACATCAAAACAAAAGCATTATTTTGAAGAAAAAATAAGTGCTCCTTTAAAACTGGAACCAAATTATAGTTTCTTTTTCACACTTTCAATCGATTAACTGCCCTGGCTTGAGTTAAAGTACTAGCATCCAGTTTGGTTTCTTTGTTGTGAGCCATGAAGCAAAAGATTTGACCAAACTGGATGAAAGACTTAAACCAAATTATTATACCCATTTATCCATTTGTCCATCCATCCATTCATCTATCCATCTGTGTTCATCCCTTCAACCATCCATCCATCCATATCCATCCATGTATCCACCTACCTATCTATCTATCCCTCTATCCAATCAACAAACGCCAACTACTTGCAAAGCAGAGGAGATTCAGCAATGAACAAGATAGACTTGGGGCCTATTCATTTAAAATACACATATAATTGAGGGCAAGAAACCATAAACACACAGATACATAAATAAGATCAGATCAGAGACTTCCACAAATAAAAGAAAGATGACAAAAAAAAAAAAAAAACAACAAAAAAAACATTGACTAGATGGCCAGGGGAAAAACCCTCTCTGAGAAGGTGACAATTAAGACCAAGATCTGAGCAAGAGATGGAAGTACCCTGCCATGATCTGGGGGGAAGAAACTTTAGTAAAGGAAACAGCAAAGAAGRTAATCCTTCTCCGGCAGAAGTCACTTGGTTAATTTGAAGAACAGAAGCTAATGGGGCTGGGTACAGGGAAGTGGCTGAAGAACCATCTAAAGAGAGAGAAGTGTCGGGAGCCARAGTAAAGGGGACCAAAAGGCATTCTGAAATGGGATGGCTTCATTCTGGAAAGGGCAAGTCCACTTCTTTTCCCAGCGAGTGAAAAATGTCACTATTTACTTGCCACCGGGGGACCAGTTTTTCCTAGTGATTGGAGCGCATAGAAAGTTGTTGGACTCCTTTCCCAAACCAGCCCTTCTCCTCTTCCTGGCTCTCCCTGGACCTCTCTTTGGAGGCTTCCTCTGAGCCTTCAGGGATGGCAGCATTTTCATGTTTACTGGTAGAAGGAGATATGAAGATAGAATTTCATCAGGGTTTGGGTCAGTGGTTAATGTTCTTGTTATTCTTGGGCATGTTTTGGGGTCTGGGAGTTATATTTCAGCACACTGTTTCCACACGCACTCCCTGCCCCCCACCGCAGAGCCTATAACCCAGCCAAAGGGGTTACATCTGGTATCAAAACAYTCACGACTCGGAGCACCAAGGTCAAGAACAACCCCAGAAAGAAACATACAAAGACTACCTTTGTGCACGTTTGAAGAGGCCAAGTGGGGGACTCAGACAGCAGGTCTGCCTCCTCTGTAAGACAAGGAGTAATGGAGGGGGAAGCTGGGTGCTCTTCGWGTTTTCACTTGCCCTTTCTTTTCACTCAGATGTGGCCAGGGGCCGTGTCTTTGTTCACCTTTCCAGCCACCTCTGTCGTGGTTTTTCTCTCTTGGCGCATCCCTGTAGAGGGAGTTGCCCTGGCATCCTGAGGCATTGCTCAATGCAACAGAGACCAGATCTATTATTCTTTGATCGAGTCCAACACACAGAGAACAAGTGGGGGCTGGGGGTGGTGGGAAGAAGTGGGTGGGGGGAGAGAGAGAGAGAAAGAGAAGAAAGCATGCAGAACATTTCCCAAGCATGAGAGCTCTTGATCACACTCCAAAGGGAACATAACAGAATGCAATTAGTTTCTGAATTGTCTTCCTCTGATCCCTGGACACCCAACCTAAAACTTCCCCAGTGGTGTTAGGGAGGACAGTTGAATTCTCCTGGAGAATTTGTGCTCAGAATTCAGGAATATAAGTCACAGAAAGGGCCCAGTGTGTTGTTCAGTTCTTTTCAGGATCCGTGCAAATCAAGCCCTCACTTCTTTGCACCAAGACACACTGTTCATAGGGTTAAAAATGGTGTGCTTCTTTCCTTTTCCCTTGAATGAAGTATTCTTTCTACATTTTAGGAGATAGGAAATGTATTTTTGCTGCTGTTTAACATTTTGCTCATGTCTGAAAAAAGACAGGAGGATGCAAAATTGAGTCCAGGCTGGGCAACATGAGGAGACCTTGTCTCAAAAATAAAATAAAAAGGGCTGGGGATGAAGCTCAGTGGTAGAGTTCCTGGATGGCATGTGAAAGCCCCTGGGTTCAATCCCCAGTACAAAACTAACACACACCCAAAACAAAAACAACAAACCAAACACACACACACACACACACACACACACGAGTTTGCTTGATTACTTGATCTGGTTTTTTAAATTTTTCCTGATAGGAAATCTACCCACACAGGGATCTAGCTTAGCCTTAGACCAAACAGACTCCTTAAACTCTCCATGACTCAATGACCCTTCATGTAAAGCAGAGCAGATAATGACCTTCCTGTACCCTCCCTCCCAGCAGGAGTTCAAGCTAACTGGGCTGGGTTAGGTTGGGTCTACACAATAAAAGAGAAGTGTRGAGCTAGGGCCACTGGCTGGGTAAATCAGGCCACAAGCGCCTCTGCCGGGAATAGTTTGAGGATTGGGACTCAAGTGTGTTTTGGCTTGAGTTTTGCACACAATTGTGGCATTGATCCATATGTCCCAACAACCCTGACACCAGACACCAACTCAGAGTTCGAAAACTATTTGGAAGATGGTAAATCATAAAGCAATGCTCATCATGATCTTTGAATATCTGAATTATTCTTCTTAAAAGAGTTCCACTGGAGACCTTGGTTCCCTGAAACACCATGCCTCAAAACCCTCCAGAAGCTAGGAACTCCACGATGGGGAAGGGTATCTAAGAATGGGCCCTACAAATTGAAACTCCATGTTATTCAATTGATAATAAGATTTGGGAGTAGCTATTATTTGGGTAATCTAGATGTTAAATCTGGGGTCAGAGATGAGAGACGAGATCTGCTAACAATGCAGGAAAAAGGTCTTTTTCAACTTTTCTCAAAATGACATGCTGTACATCTTCCGTGCAGAGTTTCCCTCAGAGGTCCTGATTGGGGACATCACTCCGTCATTCTGGCTGTCACCAGAATTTTAAGTAGGACCCTACTTAAAATTATTCTAGTAGCATAAACATTCTCAGAAAGTGTGGGTCTCAAAGCAACAATTTAAACAGTGTGTGTTTTATTTAGACAAGCAAACACTCTGCTCTGAAGATGATAGATCAGGGATGTCTGGGAATTTTTGAAAAGAGACAACACCGTTCTTTCTGAGATACCACAGGATTCGTTTTGCCTGTGACATTAAGGAGGTTTGCACAGTTTGGGAAAATATGTCTTTCCCCACAATATTGTCCTTGAGTTGATCTTTAGTCTGTGCATTCACATTGGCGGTGCTATAGCACAGCACCAGTAGCAATATTCCCCCTTAGGATGCCAAGTTTAGAACTGCAACTCCCAGTGAAAAGAGAAACAGAGTGACTTGGTTTACATGGTTTGTGCACAAGTACTGTTCAGCTACTGAGGCAAGAGATCTAGGTCAGTCAGATTATCCAGCTACTGCGTGATGCTTCCTAACTCTGTGCACAGCCCCTACTCCTTCATTATTTTACAACTTATCATCACCCAAAATAGCAATACTCATAAAAACTCTGTGCTCTGGCAACCTAGTATTTTGCCTCTGGTAGCAGTATTGTGGCAGACATTGCAATTGCCTACCCTTAAAAAAAAAAAAAAAAACAAATTCACTGTTTCAGAAGGGAATATAGCTAGGTAAAGCTGTATTTCCCAGCATTCATTGCAGCTGGGGGTGACCAGTGACATAGTTCTGCTCATGGAGGGGTAAGTAGAACAGGTTGGCTCAAACTGCTGAAAAGGAGGGAGATTCAGTTTTGCCTTCTGCCTTTATTTCTTCTACCTTTTCTGGTCAGAAGTGAGGACACAGAACTTGAAGTGAAATGGGGCAGCTGGCAGACATGCAGATGAAAGCCATATTTAAATATGGCTGCTTATAAAGATGAATGGAGCCAGGTTGCTGATAGCATGATGGAGCTGTGATATCCAACCTAGAGTGGTGACCTGAGTGTCTTTTACCATCATCATTAACACTATTGCTAACATTTACAGTGCTGTAGCATCTTTCCTAATGCTCCTGATTGTGATTCTAATTTTAGAGCTGTGATAATCAATAAATGGTGAAATTCTCTATTCTAGTCTATTGRTTTATGCATTGATTTTTAGTGTTAGGCTGTTTTGTTTACCATGGTTGAATATGCAACCATTAAAAAAATTCACTCCAAGTTCTGGGGATAAAGCTCAGTTGGTAGAGTGCTTGCTTCACATGCACAAGGCCCTGGGTTCAGTTCTCAGCATCACACACACACACACACACACACACACACACAAAATTAACTCCTGTCATTTGTGGCAATACAGATGGAATTGGAGGACATCACATTAAGCGAAACTAAATATAGAAAAACAAACACATACACTCACTCATTTGTGGAAGTTAAAAAAAAATTATTTCAATGAAGAAGAGATTAGAATGTGGTCACTAGAGACTGAGAAAGGGTAGGAAAAAAGGGACACAGAAAGTATTGAAATGTAGTTAGATGGGGGGGAGTAATTGTGGTATTCCATTTCATAGTAGGGTATCTATAGTCTACAACAATTTATGGTATATCTCATAACAACTAGAAGAGTCCAAAGATTTCTAAAACATAGAAATGACAAACATTTGAAGAGATGGAAATACTGATTATCTTGGTTTGGTCATTACACATTTATACATGTATT